ATAAATTAAATAAATGGTAATGAAACCGCCGGATTTAACAGAATTTTAAGTGTTTTTTCCCCCTAGGTCTAGACAGGTCATGAAAATACATATCTATTCTATATCTGAATACACTAGATATAGATAAAACATAACAAACTAATATCCATTTATTTCGCTTTATGTTTATTTAGTAAGAAAACACATGTTAAACACATGAAATATAAGTTTAACAAGCACTAGCACACTTGAGCATTTTAGATGTCACTCTGAAATAGGACACTATACAAATTACTGTGGATAGTAGTATGTGCCTAGGTGTTTTAACTACATACATCCTCAATATCCTTCATTCCAGTGTCATCATATCATAGAAGACATTAGTAGGTCCCCCTTGTTGTGGAAGACCACAAGTGAAAGTGTATGTTTGGGGAAAGTTTCAGTACTTTTCAGGTATGTTGGCTTGGCTCTGTCTTCTAGTCATCTGTTTGTTTCACTTTTCCATCTGTTATAGACTCTTCTAAAGCAGTGCAAACAAACGGCAACTATACCTTGCAATCGCATTTGTGTGAATGTTAGTCAAGCTTCTATTAGTGCGTTTAGATGGCAGGTGGTGTTTTGATGTGGTTTTAAGTGCAAGACTCTGGAGTATTCCAGCAGTGTTTTCAACCAGTTAATGCACTGATTACACACTTCACTTCATCACATGTATAAAAATACACGATTACTGTTCTCAATGCATATTAAGGAGGTTAAATATCAGAATTTAATCTTATTAACAACATGTACAGACTAAAGTATACCAGCACAGGGTGAATGAGTATAATGAGGTAATAACTTTAAATTATATGTTTTGAGAGACCTGATCAGCCCTCAAAGATCTTTTAATATCTGCCCTTGACTGAATAAATCACCCAAACAACCTCAATACCCCTCTGTTTGTGGCACAGAAGACTGTGTTCTTGTATTTTGAATTACAAAGACGTTTCACTCTTTAATGACAGCTTGGTTTCGGTGTGCCGGTGTTTATGGATGTGTCTGTTTTTTGTGTTCACTATGCTTTGGGCAAAGAATGCAAAGTAAATAGTGTAAGCCAAAGCAAATGTTTACAAAACTGTCAAGGGTTTACTCTATATTACCGTTACTGGTTGTATGTTTATTCAAATGAATTGTGTATTGCAAGTTAAATTAAGAGAAACCAAATGCAGGAGGAGAAAGAGGAATAGAAAGAGAATAAGGAAGAGAAATTTGGAAATGTGTGGCAATGAATTTAAATTCAAGGAAGTGCTTTGTGGTTGAGTTATTAAATTGTGAATGTGTGACCTGTGGGGAGGAGTTGGCTTTCTGGGACAAAGTGTCTAAGTTACGTAGAGGTCAGATAGTTCCAGCTTAGGGGATGGTTATGAGAACATGCATACTAATAAGGTTAATTAATAAAAATGTTTTGAAGTGCAGAGGTAAAACAGGCAGAGGCGAGGTTATGGGAGTTTGTTCCTAGCATCGCAGGTGTTTAGAGGAGCTGGGTTGAAAGAGGATCTTGTCAAGGTCACACTGAAGGAGGAGCACATGTTTTGCAAAACAACAGCTAAATTGTATTTCATTTCAAGGTTGGAGAAAATAAAAGTACTGTATTTTGGTGATAAGAGTATCATGTAGCGTCTGGACCAATCAAACACACAATATATATTTTGTTAGCTAGATTTAACAAATACTCTGTAACATCCCTCAGTTAACAAACCATATGAGGACCTATGGACCTTTCCCCCGAAATGCGTAACACCCCAAGTTGTCTGTGAACGAGGCCCAGGACCCTGGTTACCATGGCAACCCTGACGCCAGATAGATTTTACGACCTAATGGCATGTGGAGAGGCCTCCCCCTCTCACTGCATGTTCCATAGGAAGAGACACA